CGAAGGGGCCCCGTTGCTCAGAAGCCGAAACCCACTTACCCCCGCTACCGCCAACCCCAGCCTCGTTCTGCTCGCCAGTCTCCGCTACGCCGCTTCGCTCCGCCGTTAACAATTTTGAACAACGGTCCCTGGTCCAAACGCACCAATCACCGCGGGCCGCCGTCCCCATCGAACGCGCAGATTGGACGAGCCCCGGGAAGCAGCCGAGTACCCGGATGAAAACAAGCCCGCCCTGCTCTCCCAGGAAACCAACTGCCGTCACGGAGACTTCTGGATCATGTAGTCTCTAGACTCAGGGCGGCTTGCACGGCAGGCGAGCGTGGAAACCACAGCTCCCAGAAGGCACCAGGAGCCGGGGTGCGTAGCCAATCCGAGAAGGAACTTTCAACGTTCGGGATGAAGTGGCCAATCAGCTTTCAGTAAGTAGGGCGCGGTTTGACTACGTTCCAATTGGTGCCCTTGGTGGCTGGAATAGTCCATTGTGAATCTGATGTAACTATGGAGGTAGGGCAGGTAGACTACAGGTGACACTGGCACTTGGGCTATCCCCATACCAAACCTTCCCCCAACTCAGTGGGTTGCCACGTCTCCCATCCCCTCCAGCCCCTATTGCCTCCCACTCGGTGGGTCGAGCCATGTGATCTCCCCCAGCATAGAGCTAGGGGGTTGTGCCCTTTTCCCTCATCACCTTCCATGCCAAGGAGTCTCCCTAGTCAGGCACCTCCCAGGATCAGGCCCAACACACCTAGCCAGCTTTACACCAATACACTTCTCAGTAGCTTTATTTGCATTGCGCAGGTGTCTAAATAACCATTTCGATTTTTGGTTTGGTCAAAACGTGATGTGTTCACAAATAGTTTGGGGTTGGCCGAAACTGCATTTATCAGCAAATCGTTTATTTGCTGAACTATTTCCCCTATCTCTAGCAGTAAAGTATGGTATTGTACACGCCCTGATGTCCCCGCACCGCTCCCGGCAATGGCTGGCATGTCCCTGGGGGAGGGGCAAGGGACTCTGCGCATTGCCTCAGCCTGCAGGCACCCTCCTGCAGCTCCCATTGGCTGCAGTTCCTGGCCAATGGGAGCTGCAGAGTTGGTGCTTGGGGCGCGGAGACCCCTGCCCCTCCTCCCGGGGCTGCAGGGATGTGCCGGCCACTTCCGTGAGCGACGTGGGGCCAGGGCAGGCAAGGAGCCTGCCTTAGCCCTGCTGTGCCGCTGGACTTTTAGCACCTAAAATCTCCCAGTTTGGCTTCAGTAGCCTCCAGGAGATAAAGCCCGATTCCAGGAGACTCCCCGCGAAACCAGGAGGGTTGGGAACCCTAAGCGTATCTCCTCAGTAGGGTGACCAGATAGCAAGTGTGAAAAATCAGGACAAAGGATAGGTGCCTAAATGAGAAAAAGCCCTGAATATCTTGACTGGCCCTATAAAATGGGGACATCTGGTCACCCTACTCCTCGGTAATACAGGCGTGCAAGCACATCAAGCCTGTCCTTTCCTCTTTCCCCTAGCTTCCCATAGAATACTGAGTCAAGCTCAATTTCTCAGTTCTTGCCTCAAAGTGCAAAATAGCCTGACCTCAGCATATCTAAAAGATCACCTAGAACTCAGGGACGAAGGCTGCAACTGACAATTCCATTCCTTAGATACAATTAAACCTTCTACCATAGGGTGCACCTTGTCCATGCAGGAGACAGAGCTTTCTCATGGACTGTCAGAGGGGCTGGCCCCTGAGGGAGTCAGACACCCAGTCTACTGGTGACGAACTTTCTATGGTGAATGAGCCAACCCAAATCCACTTAGAGAACAAGTCAATTGCTTAAGTAACTGGGCAGCAGTTAATTAGGTAAGGAGCACCTGGGCCTTATAAAGGTTATGAAGGCTCAGACAGGGTACAGAGAAGAGAGAGGAAGTTCCTAAGAAAAGGGCTTCCTAGGGGAGCAGTTGAGGGAATTCACTAGGAAAGAAAACAGGAAGAGTACTCCTAGCAGGAAGAGGATCTGGAAGGAAAGACCTGTGAATACCAAGCCCTAACAAAACCTAGTTCCCCCAAGAGGATTTCGCCAGGTAGTAGCAAGAATTCCAGATCACAAATGAATGATATGTTATTCTGGAGAAGGGTTGCTATGGCTTGAACTCTGCAGGAACCTTGAACCCAGATGAGAAACCCTTTCATATTTGATGATAGGCGGCAAAGACTCCAGTAAAGGGTCCTGGGTCAAGAGGGCCTCACTGGTAAGGAGCGTAGATGGACTAAAATTAACTTGGTCCCCTTCAGGTGGAGGTTTACATGTGTAACACATTCTGCCATTGGATTCAATAAACTAGACACCTGAAGGGGCACAGGGCAATCAATATATATATATAAGCTTTTGGGAACTTTAGTGAAAGTACACTAAGGGACAGTGAGGCCGAGATGTGCCTGCAGTTCTGCACAGGACTGGCATGGGACACTCCTGGGGTGACTGCCTACCATTACAGGGGCCAATATGAACATATGTAAGGAACTCACCCAGGAATAAGCACCACTGCAAACCACCCCAACTTTTGCAGCAAACTCCAGGCAGAGGCGCTGGAACTATTTGTATAGTGGGAGTGCTGAGAGCCATTGATCCAAACTATAAGCCCTGTATATGATGGAAACCACTTGAAGCCAGGGAGTGTGGCAGCCCCCTAGTTCCAGCACCTGTGACTCCAGGGTGCCAGACCCCCTCTTGGCCAATACACTGGAGATTAAACTGGAGAACTCCAGAGCTAAAAACATCAGCTGTTACAGCTTCAGCTACTGTAGCTGGGGACTGTAACAACTCATATCTGCTGTAGACAGGCACCGAGGGGAACCTGAAAAACACACACTCACCAAGGGGTTACACCATGCACACTTTGACCTGCCTCTGCTAACAGATGCAGAGTAGCATGTACAAATTTAAAAAAACCCAGCAAGACATGAGAAGTAATTCTTCTACTCTGTTGCATGCTGATAAGGCCTCAGATGGAATATCATGTCGAGTTTTGGGTACCACATTTCAGGAAAGATGTGGACAAATTGGAGAAGGCCCAGAGGAGACTAGATTAAATGATTAAAGGTCTAGAAAACATGACTTATGAGGAAAGAATGAAAAAAATGATTTGTTTAATCTGAAGAAAAGAAGACAGAGGGGGGACATAAGTTTTCAAGTACGTAAAAGGTTGTTACAAGGAGGAGAGTGAAAAAAATTGTTCTTAACCTCTGAGACAAGAAGCAATAGTCTTAAATTGCAGCAAGCATGGTTTAGGTTGGACATTAGGACAAATTGCCTACAGGGAGGTTGTGGAATCTCCAGCAGTGGAGGTTTTTAAGAACAGGTTAGATGCCTTAGGGATGGTCTAATTATTACTCAGTCCTGCTGTGAGCCCAGGGGAGGAGACTAGATGACCTTGTGAGGTCCCTTCCAGGCCTACCCTTGTGATTCTATGAAAATGCTCCATTGCACCCCCACTTCTTTCTTCCTGGGGAGGGAAAGAGCTGGGACAAACCATACGTGTGGGGTGGGGTGACCAGATGGTGACTGTTTCATAGGGACAGTCCCGATAGCTGGGGCTTTGTCTTATATGAGCACCTACTACCCCCATCCCCTGTCCCGATTTTTCACACTTGCTGCCTGCTCACCCTGCATAGGTGACTGATGCAGCCCTGTGACTTTCCAGCTGGGAGCCGCTGTCATTTCCGCATCTAAGCCCCAGGCATGGGAGTGGATGCCCCATAGGGCTGTGGGCAGGGCTGGCCCACGCAGGATACCCACCCCCACAGGACAGAGGCGGCGCTGATGGGCTGCTATGGGCACAGCCCCTCCAGCTGGGCGTGGCCCAGCCCGACAGCTGCATAGTGACATCACTGAGGCGGCGCGGTCCCTTTAAATCTCCACTTCTCCAGGGCGCTCACGCGGGGTCGCCAAAGTCTGCGCTTTGACACAGCAGGCCGTTGGGTTGCGCATGCTCACTACTCCTGCGTGCGCAGCCGCACGCTCAGCGGAACACATCTCGCGCATGGGTATTAACGCCCAGGCCTGGCCGGACGTTCCCGCCCCAAGCGGGAGACCCATTCGCGCATGCGCACTCCCCTCTCAGCCCCGCCCAGCCCTGACAAGGCGGCCGTTGGGGGCGGGGAGGGGCAGGGAAGGAGGCCGCTGAAGCGGTTCGGGCCCCGCGGGCTCCCAGCGATCTCTGCCCCGGCGTCTTCCTCCGTGGGGGGCGGGGAGCAGGGGGTTGGGCTCTTCGCCGGCCTCTGAGGTGAGAGCGGAGTGGCGCAGGCGAGGCGTGAGTGACAACCAGGTGCTGCCAATGGGAGGATGCCTGTTGGTCCCGCCCCTGACCCCCTCCAGGGGGCGGGCCAAGGAGAGGGGGAGGGGAAAAGAAGGGGGGAGGGGGATCTCCATCTCCATTTCCATCTCCACAGTGTGTCTCCTCTTCTTCTCCTGCTGTTTGTCCCCCTCCCTCGGCCGGCTCCCAGTTCTGGGGGCTCGCCCCAGCAAGGCCTTTGGCTAGGGCGGATCTCAGGTCCTGGGTTACAGCCATTCTCTCATTGACCCCCTAAGCCTCCGCAGGTGCGTGTCCTTTCCCCCCATCGCACGCGGACAAGGGAACTGGAAGGCGGAACTCCTCAATGGCTTTGCCAAAGCCAAGAGAGTCGGTGCCTGGAAGGCAGGAATCCTGGGCTTAGCCCATTAGACCATCCTGCTTCTCTTGGCTGAGAAATCACACTGGCTGTTCAGCAAAGAAGCCAATTCCTCTGTGGGCAACCAGCTAAGAGGGAGTTTCTGGTAGCAGAGAGCCATCAGCAGCAACGAATTGGTACCTCCCCCACAGCCATGAAAAAAGAGGGTCCCACAGGAGTGGGTTGCTTGGGTCCCAACAGTCTGCCCTGGATGCTTGTAGGAGACTATGAATAAGCTACGATCACTGTGACAAACTTCCAGCTCTCAGCATCAGTGAGTTACATCTGTAGGGTTTTCTTCACAATAAAGGGTGCTGGAACTTTAGCCTCCCTCCCTCATCCAAAAAGTAACAAGGGCTAAGACAAAAAATGTTGCTGATTCACAGGCAAGACCTATCAGGAGTTGGTGGCATAGTACTGAGTGAGCTTCATTAATCCCAACAGATCCTGCAAGAATTAATCATGCCCACTCTCCTTTTCAACATATACGTGAGACCCATTGAAAAGTTTATGAAATACCATGGGTTCTAATTCTGCACCCTCTGTTGATGGTGTGCATCCCTCCAAACAACAAAGTATCAACTTTTGGGTTCTCCAAATATATGGATTGCAAAACTGGCAAGAAAGACCACCTTTTACCACCTTGCCAGAAGATTGCAGCTGTTTCTTTTCGATGAGTACTTAACCACTGTAATCAACTCTCTCCTTGCTTCTCAGTTAATTACTGTAAGTCCACCTGGGTCTGAAGATGAAGGCTACATAGAAATTCTAACTTGTGCAGCATGCAGCAGACTTTCTTTAAAGAAAGAAACTGCTAAGAGCTCATCACATGGGGACTTAAAAGAGTCCAGGGGTTCCCAGTTCATTCTAGAACATAAGAACAACCATAATGGGCAAGACCAATAGTCCATCTAGCCCAATAGCCTGTCTTCTCACAGTGGCCACTGCCAGACTCTTCAGAAGAAATTAACAGAACAGGGCAATTAACACGCAATCCATTTCCTGTCATCCAGTCCCAGCTTCTAGCAGTCAGAGGTTTAGCGACACCCTGACCACCTTGGCTAATAGCCATTGGTGGCCTTATCCTCCAGGAATTTAACTACATTATTTTTTTAACCCAACTAATAATTCAGATAGGTGAATAACAATCTTTGCGTTTAAGGAACAATACATACTAGATCTTGATTATCTTGGAGATCACCTTCACATCTGTGACCCTGTGACACAGATGTGCTCCACGCCAAGGGCCTGCTCTGGCTGACAGAGTCCAAATGAAACTTGCAAGAGCAAAGCCTTCTCAACACATAGTTCTCCACTGGAGCTCCTCAGGAGAGGATATAAGAACTAACCCAAGCCTGTTTGCTTTCAGAGGGTGATTTTGAAAGCTTCCAGCGCTGAGGAAGGCAGAAGAATGAATTTAAAAACAAAATAACAATAAAAACCTCAGACCTCTATGTAAGGTGTCTGAGGGGGGGGGCTTACTACAAATGCCTGAGAGAGAGGGCAGCAGCAGGAGGGGACTCTTGCTATGTATAGAGTTCCAAAGATCTGGGGGCTGGAAAGGGGGTGGGGCCAGGGAAGGGTTAGAAGACTAGTGGGGGAGGGACATGCGGGATGGGGAGCTGGGTAGCTCAATGCATTTTGTTGTGGGAGGGTCAGGGAGCAGCCTACTGCGTGCTGAGTCAGTGGCTGTCTTTCTCCTCTGCAGCTGGTCGACAGGGGCGGTGAACTGAGATTTCCCAGGCCAGAGCTTTCTCTCAGCAGGTTCTCTAGAGGGTGAGTAGAAACACGCATGTATGTTCTCTCTCCAGTCCATATTCTGATAGGGAGCCTATGTATCCTGTCTATTGTTACAGATCCTTGTGGTTTAGATGAGGCCACCCTATGCTGCTTCCCCTTGTAGGACCTAGGGCAGGGTGGAAATGAGGCAGAGAGAAGCTGCTCCTAGTAAAATCAGAGAACTGAATAAAATGCTTTTAATAAAGAGTATTGAGATGAAGGTAACTTCAGTCAGTGACTGAACTACCTGGTGATTTCTCTGTGGAACAATAAGGTTTCTTAATACAACTGGTTACAGAAAGCTCTGAATATTTAGAATAACAGAAAACCCTGGCCCCCTTTCCCTGATAGAGGGTGACTGTATTTGTGATGGTAAGACACTGAAAAAGAATGTATCTGGGGCACATTTCTGTAGGGTTATTTCTGTCCTTATACCAGTCTAGGGTTCTCTGGTAATATTTCAGGGTTTCCCTCAAAATTCAAGGGTGCCAAGTCTCGCCCACTTTTATATGTGATTGTATGCATTCCTTTTCCCTGGAAACCTCCCTCTGCAATGATTAACTACATCAGAAGTAATTCAGCATAGATTTAATGTGCTTCCAGTCTTTACTTGCTTTTCTGGGCACTCTGAAACTATTATGTGACTTCCTCTCCCAACTTTTGCTAACAAAGTAGGGTTGAGGGTGTGAACCTATAACTGGGATTCCAGTAAAACACATAAGGGGTCTGTTATAGGATTTCCTAAGGATGTAGTGGCACCTAAATCCAGCAAAGAGGAACTGAGAACAGGAGTACTTCTGGCACCTTAGAGACAAACAAATTTATTTGAGCATAAGCTTTCATGGGCTACAGCCCACTTCATCGGATGCATAGAATGGAACATATAGTGAGGAGATATAGTGAACTGTGCACCTTCAATGCACCTGGTAGCTGGTGAAACTCAACCCAGGGCTAATCCTCTCTGGAATGGAAAAAGGAAAATGATGCTGTAAAGCTTAAAACAACTCCCCTGTGCAGGCTGGCAGCTGCTATTGTTCTGACTGAGCCTCTCTAATTGTTGGAAAATGTTACTTGACAGAAGTAAGAGAGGGCTGCATTGTTCTTTTAGTGCACAAGCAAATATTTCAAGGCACCTCACCCAGTAGTACCGGTCCCTTTAAAAAAAAAACAGGAAGAGCTTTGATCTTCTCTGGGAGGCGGGGAGGAAGGGGGCGTGAGGGAGGGAGGGTTCTTTTGCGTTACTGCAGCAGAGCAGAGCTGCATGCACCACTCAATCAAGGTAATGGAGGAACAGGCAGAGGGTGAGCTCTTGGGGCTCCAAAGCTTCTTTCTTTGCTTTCAAATTTCCAGCCTGCAGTGTCGCATGATCACTTCAGCAAGAGCTGCTTTTTCTTCGGAGGCTTAGATTGAGACTAGCAGCAGTGGCTGGCTGGGCACTGAGCCCTTGTTGACCTTATGCAGAGGTGTAGAAACCCCTCAACCTTCTGCGCAGCTACATGACAAAAGAGCTTTCAGGCTTTCCCTGATTCATGTAGAGGTGGCTGAACTGATTGCATTTCATGTGCAAGTGACTTGTGGCTGTTTCAGAAGCAAGTCCAAGGGTTTTCAGCCTAGTTCTCATAGAAATTGATGGTTTTCCAGGAGTTTTCTGAGGTTCTGCCTAACGTATAGCTGCAAAAACACTTGAGGGTTCAGTTTAGGAAGAAGCTACTGATGTTAATGCCCCAAATGTGAGTATAATGTTGTACTAACAGTTTATTTGCCTCTCTTTTCCCTCTAAAGATTGTCTGCTCAGGGTTCAGATGTTCGCCTTGACTCCAGAGGAGAGGAGAGTCTGGACCTGGTAAGCACATTGGTCAGCTTGTGTTCTGGACCATGGACTCCATGAGAATCCCCCTAATGTGAAAATGTCAAACACTAACAGGGAGTTAGTGACTGACTTTCTCTCCTACAAGCTATCGCAGCGGGGATACAGCTGGAGTCGGTTCGAGGGGGAGGATGAGATCAGGACTGAGTCTGCAGAAGAGGCTGAGATGGCAAGCGTCCCTAATGGGAGTCCATCCTGGCACCCGGGTGCCAGCCACGTGGTGAATGGGGCTGCCGGGCACAGTAACAGCCTTGAAGCCCATGAAAGGGTTCCGGCAACTGGAGTGAGGCAGGCACTGAGAGAGGCAGGAGATGAGTTTGAATTGAGGTATCGGAGGGCTTTCAGTGACCTCACTTCCCAGCTCCACATCACCCCTGGCACGGCATACCAGAGCTTTGAGCAGGTGGTGAATGAACTCTTCCGGGACGGAGTGAACTGGGGGCGCATTGTGGCTTTTTTCTCCTTTGGAGGAGCCCTGTGCGTGGAGAGTGTCGACAAGGAGATGCAGGTGTTGGTTGGACGCATCGTCTCATGGATGACCACTTACCTGACTGACCACCTAGATCCCTGGATCCAAGAGAATGGCGGTTGGGTAAGAACTATCTCACTTCCAAGGGGACCGTGCTCCCCACTCATCTGACCTTATTGACAGCTTTAGTACAAGTCTGATTAAAATGTAACTGTCTGAACGCCTTGTGCATGCTAGTAATTGTTCTAGATGTCCATAGTGAAACAAATGCAACTGGAATGGGCCTTTCCCTGCGCATTCTTAGTGGTTTGCCACAAGGGGTCACTCCATTGTGGCAGAGCAAAAAGAATTGGTACTGTGCCCACCAACCAGGCTTGTCTGAATCCCTCTTGCTTCTCTGCCTCCTTGGATGTTGGAGGAACCCTTTGTGCAGCCCCCATAATCCAGGCTGGCTCTTGAGATGGAAGCCCTTGTTCCTTAGCATGTCCGACAGTGGTCGGGAACCCAGCTCAGGACTGAACCTTCCTTCCATCTTTGTTAATGCAATGATCCTAAAATGCTGGGGGTGGGCTTTGCAGCCAAGTGGGATGGATGATATGCTAGCTCTCCACCTCTGGAGATAAGAATTCACCTTCTGATTTGCTCACAAATAAAGTAGGCCTTCTTCCCCGGGGTATCTGTCCTCCATGTAGTCTGAGAATTGAGGTGTGTACCCTTTTAATGGATTTGTGTTAACATGAGTAGGTGTTTCCCACTGAAGCCCACAGTCTATTCTGCTCATCACCAGATGGCTTGCACTGTGGAACTTGTTAGGTTCAGGGGATTTTGCCAATGGGAGATGGGTGGCCTAGTTTACACCTTGTTTTAACTCCTGCATTCTGGTGGCTCTATGTACTAGTACTGGCTGGACAGGGGGGACAGTTCCAGCTACTAAAATAACTGAGGAGTCCGGTGGCACCTTAAAGACTAACAGATTTATTTGAGCATAAGCTTTTGTGGGTTAAAACACTTCTTCAGCTACTGGCATTTAAGCACTGGAGTATTGTTTCCGTGGCCCGTTGATGAGCTGTGGTTTTGAAAATTGTTCCCCTTCACAGCCCCGCAGCCACAACCAGTAGCCCACCCTGAAAGCTAGAGGAGACTTGAGGAGGTGCTGGGGAATATGGAGACAAGATTATTTCAGCCCAGCCTTGCTCTGCACCTGCTCCTGGCACAGGTGAATTTGATCTGCCTCTTGGAGCTCAGGGAAGCCCAGCATTGGATCCAGGATAAAGTAAAGGAGTGGAGGCAGAAGGGAGGATGTCGCACCCAGGGCCCAGGAATGCTTGGAATGTAATTGTCCTGGGGCACTGCCTGGGGTGTGGCTACCCAAACAGATTGAATTTTGTTTCATGTTACATTGACCATCTCAACAGGCTGTCTCTGGCCCATTAGCTCTCTGGCCTTGTAGATCACCCTAGCAGCGGCTGAATGCTGGGTTTCATCCCTCTCCTCTCCAGCTTTGGCTTTTTTAAAAACAGAGATTAGTTCTGGAATAGGTTTCCCAGTCTCTGTGGCTCTTGCTGCTGGTGACAATTGGGTTGTATCCTGGAGACCTAGGCGATAATGCAATCTGATTTTGTAAATGAACTCCCTGGGAGATTTAGATTAAATCACTGATGGAAAGTCACTGGTCTCTGCAATCCCCTCCCCCACCCCAAGAGTTTCACAGTGTGCTTCCTTTTTGTCTGAGCACAAATTCATTGTTTGAAACAAATATTTGTTCAGCAGATTGCAAGAGGGGCAGGATTCCTCTGTGTCTGACACACCCACTGGCTCCTGCTCTTAAGATGGCTATTAGCCATTTTTTTTGCCAGACAGAGAAGCAGCTTTGTGCTGGTATCCCTGATTGTGATTCTAGCTGCCTTGGCTGGCTTGTATTGTTTGTTGCAAGCTAGCCGAACTACGGGACACGGCCATTGGTGCAGGGAGGCCATGCAAATGCCCCTGATGGCCAAAGAGAAGGTCTGGGCTGTTTCTGTAGGTTCATCTATACTGATAGCTGGAGAAGAGATGGGGGGTGCATCTACTGTGCGGGTCCGTTACAGGGGCTTCGAACCAGACACCAGACTGGAGCTTTGATAGCTTTAGGTAGTGATGCTTTTGGCCTTGTTAGCACTAGGTCCTTTTTTTTTTTTTTGTCCCCAGATTTCCCAATCTTGTTCAGCTCTGCTGCTGCTACCAATGGTGCTAATGTTAATATTGCATCACAACTGTTTGTAAAAGTTCTGCCATCCTAATAGGGATGGAGGGTTCTGGATATCTTCTGTTTCACCTTCCCACTGCTTCTAGGTGCAGAGAGAAACCATTGGCTTCTTCCTAGCTAGTTCTGCCCTGAGCCTTGAACCAGTGAGTGCTCCTCCTGGCCCAATGATGGAGTAATCTCTCTGTCATTGTCCTGTTTGCACAGGATTACTGCTCACCTACAGTGTGTATGGTACGTGCTGAGCAGCTATTGCCTGGCCCGTTCACAAAAAGGTGCCATAGCCAAGTCTCAAACAGAGGAATGCGAGTTCTGGCTGGCCTGCTCCTGGTATGTATCAAAATAGTTTGTTTTCTAGAGTATGGCAGCATTTCACTGCCTGCCAATCCCTGAGAGAGGGTAGGAGTAGTTCCAAACAGTCTTTTTGGGTAAGAGTTCCTGCTTTCCTGAGGCTGGTGAAAATGAAAGAGCTGCTGTGGTGCTTGGGATGGAGGGCCAGGATGCCATGATCAGAGAGAAATCCTTGCTTTTTTAGAGTGGGTGTGAATATAATGCTTTTCTGAGAGCTCTGCAAAGGCTGGGAGTGATTCATGATGAATGACTCATTTCCATTTCTAATAGAGATCTGGTCAGAAAGTAAAGGCTGGAATTGAAGGTTCTGGCAACATCTGTGCAATTCCATGAATAAGTGGGAACTGGAGAATATACTGCTGTTTTCTGATGCTGACTGTCCTGTCTCTTGACTGGGGCATTGAGCTTTGTCCCATTGGAGTAATGCAAACAGTTCCCTAAAGTACTGATTTCCTGGATGCTTAACATGTAAACACCAAGGAGGCAATGCCAATAGAATTATCTGAAGTCTGAAAAACTGGACGTCACTGGAAGGGGAATGGACTAGATGAAACCTCTTCCCCCTTCTTCTGACCTGCCCAACCCAAGGGAGTGCCCCAATGATCAGTCCTGGGGCCGGTTTTGTTCAATATCTTCATTAATGATCTGGAGGATGGTGTGGATTGCACCCTCAGCAAGTTTGCAGATGACACTAAACTGGGAGGAGTGGTAGATATGCTGGAGGGTAGGGATAGGATACAAATTAGAGGATTGGGCCAAAAAAAATCTGATGAGGTTCAACTAGGACAAGTGCAGAGTTCTGCACTTAGTATGGAAGAATCCCATGCACTGCTACAGATTAGGGACCGAGTGGGTAAGCAGCAGTTCTGCAGAAAAGGAACTTGGGGTTACAGTGGATGAGAAGCTGGATATGAGTCAACAGTGTGCCCTTGTTGCCAAGAAGGCTAACAGCATTTTGGGCTGTATAAGTAGGAGCATTGCCAGCAGATCGAGGGACGTGATCATTCCCCTCTATTCGGCACTGGTGAGGCCTCATCTGGAGTAGTGTGTCTAGTTTTGGGCACCACGCTACAAGAAGGATGTGGAAAAATTGGAAAGAGTCCAGCAGAGGGCAACAAAAATGATTATGGGGCTGGAGCACATAATTTATGAGGAAAGGCTGAGGAAACTGGGATTGTTTAGTCTGCAGAAGAGAAGAATGAGGGGATTTGATAGCTGTTTTCAACTACCTGAAAGGGGGTTCCAAAGAGGATGGATCTCGACTGTTCTCAGTGATAGCAGATGACAGAACAAGGAGCAATGGTCTCAAGTTGCAGTGGGGAAGATTTAGGTTAGATATTAGGAAACACTTTTTCACTAGGAGGGTGGTGAAGCACTGGAATGGGTTACCTAAGGAGGTGGTGGAATCTCCTTCCTTAGAGGTTTTTAAGGCCCGGCTTGACAAAGCACTGGCTGGGATGATTTAGTTGGGGTTGGTCCTGCTTTGAGCAGGGGGTTGGACTAGGTGACCTCCTGAGGTCCCTTCCAACCCCGATAGTCTATGAACCCAGATTTTCCCAGTTGCTGAATGGTAGCCAGGTTGGACAGAGTCCTGCTGAGTTACATTGCGGCAGGATGGAGTCTTATGGCGCTTTGTGGAGAAAACCCTCTAGAAAATGTGATTATGGAGAGTCCTTTTTCTAATGTCACTTTTTTTTTTGAATGATGGGCAATGACACAGACACTTGTATGACAGGCAAGTTGTGCTCTGCATACATCCTCTGCTTTCAGAGAGAAAACTTGAGACTTTGCGTCTCACCCTTCAGGCAGACTTTTTGCTCCTCTTCATGTCTACTCCTATGATTTCTGTCCACTGTGGGGATTGGGAATAACCATGTCGAGGCATTCATCTCGCCCTCTGAGAGACGGCTGAGGTGGACTTAGTGGTAGAGTTTGTGACTGCCCTGTGTGCAGATGCTAAATCAATGCTTGGGTTGGATGAGCAAACCAGATGTGCTCTCAAGCCCTCCTGTCTTGGTATGCTGATCTCTGTTCCTAGCATGTAGGACTCCCATTGCCATCCAAGGGAGTTTGTGTCTTTAATTATGCCTGTTTAGACCTTTTGATTCGGGCAGCGAGAGGTTCACTGGCTGATCAGACAGCTTGGATAACCAAGATTTGGTGTGTAGTTATCTCTGTGAGATTAACTCCTGTTAGAGTAAGCATTGATTCAAATAGGTATATTGCATGTTTAAAAGAGCTTTAGAGAACCCACTACATTTTTCAAGGAAAAGCAGCTATTTCTGGGTGGAATGTAGTCGTTTAACACACAGCAACACTGTACGATAGTTCGAAGACATGGAATGAAGACTAGATATTTGTGATGATCACGGTATAAATACCAAGATAGAAGAATACAGTATTCTTATTAAGTTACAAGCGAAATCCAAATACAATTATGCAAACTGGACTGTGGCTAGCGTACCAGAAGTAATTCTCAGACTCTTGTATAGAAGTGCCATGGGATCTTTAATGGCCATAAGTTGTCAGT